GAACACACAGAGGAGCGAGTTGCCAAATGTTTCACAGCTCTGACACACGTCTGTCCCCTCACCTCGGTCCTTCCCATTCTGCAGCTTCCCTGTTTCTTCTTCGTCTTCTTCCTCTGCTTCAGAAAAAAAAGAAAAGAAGAAAAGTTGACACGAGACAGGTGGGTGAGAGAAGAGAGAGAATCATGGAATTGTTTGGGTTGGAAAAGCCCTCTCAGACCGCTGAGTCCAACCATCCCCAGCACTGCCAGGCCACCACTAACCCACGTCCCCAAGTGCCACACCCACATGGCTTTTAAATCCCTCCAGGGATGGATTTAACCACCACCTCCTTGGGCAGCCCCTTCCAGTGCTTGACAACCCTTTCCATGAAGAAATTCCTCCTGGATTTCACTGGTTTCATGGTGAGAGCTGGGGGTTCATTATGTTTATCTGGGGATAAGCAGAGTGAGTTTATGGCCAGGCCCGGATTTGCACAGCAGAGCGGGAGCAGAAGGTCACATTCTTCCCCAGATGGTGGCTCTGACTTGTTTCAAGGAGATCTGTGTAAACAGGTGATGGTTATCCTGAGGGAGATGGCACTTCTGCCTCCAGCACGTGGTGGGAGAGCAGAGAAAGGGAGAAACCCTCCAGTGAGAGGCACAACTGGAGAACCGGAGGTGTTTGGGATGGATCCGATCAAAGGGACCTGATAAACGTGTCCTTTGTGGCTTTGGGAGCAGGATGGTGAGACATGGGGGGTCACACAGCCCACACCCGCTTGGCAGTGGCTCCAGGGGGTCCTTAATGTGACCTCCAAGGAGATCAGGGACAAAACCAAACGCATTTGGAATAACCAGAGATGTGACTCGGAGCTCAGTGTTGGGTCTTGGACTTGCCTCCTGTGTGAAGACCAGCACCCTGGGTCTTTAGGCTCAGACAGAGTGAAAATGGGACCAGTGTTCCCTCAGCAGCACAGGGAGCAATGGGATTACTGTGTGGACTGTTGTGTGGCACTTGGGGACATGGGTTAGCAGTGGCCTTGGCAGTGCTGGGGGACAGCTGGACTTGGTGGTCTTGGAGATCTTCTTCGACCTCAGTGATTTTGTGACTCTGTAATTCTGGGACTCCAGGATTCTGTCACAGAATCACAGAATCTCCTGAGTAGGGAGGGACCCCCAAGGATCATCCATCCAACCCCTGGCCCTGCACAGACACCCCAACAATCCCACCCTGTCCCTCAGGGTGTTGTCCAAACCCTCCCTGAGCTCTGGCAGCCTTGGGCCTGTGCCCATTCCCTGAGGAACCTGGGCAGTGCCAAACACCCTCTGGGGGAAGAACCTTGTCCTGAGATCCCACCTGACCCTGCCCTGCCATCACTGCAGGAGAAGGCAGAGACTGAAACATCCCGGGAAGCCCCCAGAGGACGGGGTGACACCGCAGCGTTCCCCTCCCAAGGGAATCTGTTCCCTGGGCCGGAGCAGAGGCACCAGAGGCACAGGGAGGGTGGGAGGTGCAGGCACTGGTGCCTCCCAGACCCTCCCCACACACCTCCTGTGGCTGCACGGGGGAGCTGGGCCGGGGGAGGTGTCTGTTCCCACAGCTCACCTCTGGGACGGGATGTGTGAAATCCCGCCGGCTCCGTCAGCTGAGGATAACTCATGCTTTTCCTAATTTACACAAACCACACCATTGCAGGGGAGCCTGCCTTGGTCCCTGCACCTCCTCGAGCAGGAGCCTGTCAGTGCCTCCATTTTCACTCCGTTCTCACTCCCCTGTGATCCACTTGGCTTTGCACATCCCTGACACGGCTGGTGGCCGAGGGAACGGCTGGACCTGTGTCAGGGAGGTTTGGGCTGGATTTAAGGACAAGGTTCTTCCCCCAGAGGGTGGTTGGGCACTGCCCAGGCTCCCCAGGGAATGGTCACAGCCCCAAGGCTGCCAGAGCTCAGGGAGGGTTTGGACAACGCTCTGAGGGACAGGGTGGGATTGTTGGGGTGTCTGTGCAGGGCCAGGGGTTGGAACTCGATGATCCTGGTGGGTCCAACTCAGGATATCCCACAATTCCATGATTCTACAACACCTGCTCTGCTACGGAAAACAAAAAGCCAAAGGCTGCAGACTGTGCTTTGGGCAGAGGTTTGTTCTCCGTGTTTCAGCCCCGGGGGAAGAGCTGAGGTGATTTATGGGAGGAACAGGCGGCCCTGCCGCGGCGCTGGCGGTGCTGCTGTCAGCCATGGACAACTTTATTAACTCCCAGCTGCCTCCACAGCCGGGACACGGGGCTGGGAGAGGGGGGATTTACTGCTGGGCAGTAAGATCTCAGCCCTGTTTATCACTGTGGCGGCTCCATCACAGGCAGAGCCTCGTGGGGTCTGTCACGGACCGGGAGGAGTTTGGGGGGACACGAGTGTGGGTCCAGCACAAGGTGGGACAGGGACCAGGAGGGTCAGTCCGGACACAGAACACCTTCCTTCTTCCTTAACAGCCAAGGCAGCCCAGAAACAGAATCCCAGGAGCATTTAGGTTGGAAAAAGCCCTCCTGGATCATCAAGTCCAACCTGTGACTGACTCCCGCCTTTTCAACCAGACCAGTGCCATGTCCAGTCATTCCCTGGACACCTGCAGGGGTGGGGACTCCACCACCTCCCTGGGCAGCCCCTTCCAGTGCCTGACCACCCTTTCCATGAAGAAATTCCTCCTGGAATAGGCTGCTGGAGCACTGAATGGTCACACCTCCATCGCTGACAGGGCCCGAGGCCCACAGGACACATCCCTGGGTGACACAGGACCTGCTCTGGCCCCACCAGGGAGTTCAGCTCCCCTGGCCCAGGGAGGAGGCACAGAGGAAACAATTATCTGCTTTCCACATCGTTGTTCAATGACAAGGCATGGAATTGGCCTCATGGACATTTTACAAATGTGGTTACAGGGTCTGACAAGGATTCATGGCAGAGGGTCTCACCTGCTGCCCAAGTATTGCAGGACTAAGCAGGAATTTGGGGACATTCACTCCAAAAATGTGCTCCAGCTTCTGACTGTGTCATTAAGGAGCTCTGGCTTCCAGAAGTGGGCCTGGGAGGTGGCCCCCCTCCCAGGAGATGCTCTGGAAAAGCAGCTCCGTGCTGTGATCCACGCTCGGATCAATGGGAGCAGTGGGCAGGGGAGGGGGGCTGTCTCCATGAATCACCAGTGGTGCCACCAGCCAGGGCTGCACCCGCAGGGTATTGCCCTCCCCAGCAGGGATAAAACCTCTTCAAAAGGTGCTGGAGTTCTCAGTGATACAACCATGGAATGACTGAGGTTGGAAAAGCCCTCCAAGATCACTGAGCCCCCTCCCAGCACTGCCCAGGCCGAGGGTGTTGGCCATAAACACGATTTTTTGCTGAGAACACAGACACGTGATCCCACATCATGCTTTAGTTTTAACAAAAAAACCTCCAACCCGTGGCTCCCATCTCTCCTTTTCCTGTGCTGCCCAACCCACCCTTACCTGAGTGAAGCTCCTTCACCAGCGAGGACATGGTGTTGGTGATGGAATCGGCCGCTACCAGCAGGTCATTGCGCAGGTTCCTCCTCGTACCTGGGGCAGAGCAGACACGCAGAAATCAGGGGTCACCTGTGCCAGCTGCCACTGCCCCAACTCGTCCCCGCCAGGCCTCCCTGGGGTGGTGCTGGGACACCCCCAGTGCCCCCAGAGCAGCAGAGGTGGAGGTTTGCCCTGGCACAGCCCAGCTCCGCCTCGTTCCCTGAGCACCTGCTTGGCTCAGCATGAGCTCAGCACGAGCTGCCTCGTGCTCCTCCCTGTGACATGGCAGCACGAGGGCACAGACAGCCCCCAGGACCTCGTGGTGGGGTGGCTCACCCTCCTCCCCCTCTGGGCAGAGTCGCTCTCGAGATCACTGAGGTTTGAGTGGGACAAAAGCTGTTGGAATTCTCACCCTCCTGCATGGCTGGAGGGAGGAATCCTGAGATCACTGAGGTTTGAGTGGGACAAAAGCTGTTGGAATTCTCACCCTCCTGCATGGCTGGAGGGAGGAATCCTCTTCCTCGCTGTCACACAGCTGGGGGTGTGACCCCGTGGGTGTCCCCACGGTGACACTGACCTGCCTGGACACTCCACCTGCTGGAGGGACCTGCTTGTCCTGCCAGTGACCCAAACTGTCCAGGACCAGCACGGGGACAGAGCTGGCACCAGGACCATCAGACTGGCTGCTGCCACAACAGAGGGGGGTCAGGGATGGTGCTTGTTGTCTCTTGTGATGCTGGGAACACAATGATCCTCTTGGATCATGGAGGTGGCTGCCCCACCCCTGGAAGTGTTCAAGGCCAGGCTGGGTGGGGTTTGGAGCAGCCTGGTCTCACGTCCCCCCTGTGGAACAGCTGGATAATGCTCTGATCCCCCCTGGACATGTCTGTGCAGCAGCCCCCGGAGCCCTCCGGGCTGGGACTTCCAATGATTTTATTACGTGCAAGCATCAACATTTTATCCTGTTTCCTGTGTTCTCCACCGGCCTCGGATTTGCCTGATTTTGCGTGATTAATATGAAATAGCACTAATTGTGCAGACTGCCTTTCCGGAAGGATCGTTCCAGGAAACTTATTACGGAGTCTGGCGACCACTTTTTTTTTCTTGGAAGAGTTTTTCTAGTCATTGAATCAGCCACCACAGTGGTTATGAGGAGAGGAATGTTCACCTTTCTGGGGGCAGCAGTGGATCCAAGAATTCCCACGGGATTGTCTTCTTCTCTGTTGAGATGATCAACAGCAGAACTGATTTTATAACTTGATGGTGGCCTCTGTATCCGAATATTTCACCCAGAAACCATCAGGATGTTTTATTACAATAGTCATACTTTGTGATCTCCAAACGCCAGTCTTGGTAATCCTCTACCAAGTGGAAGATCAAGAGATCACCTATAGAGGAAACTTTTCTAACCTCAAAACTGCCCGATGAATATCCCTGGGATCCAACCCTTTAAAGGTTTCCCGCTCTAGAGTTTTCCACACTGATGGGGAAGCTCACAGATTCGTGCCCTGGGAGGAAAGATGAGCTGTTGGCTTCTCTGCCCACTCCAAGGTCACGGAAGAGGTGGAACAGCACCCAGAGCTTCACTCCCTTCTGCTCCTCTCTCCCACTGTCACATTTAATAAGAATCCGGTGGACGTGCAGAAGTTAGCACAAATAATGTCAATGTTTTTGTTAAAGTGGCCCATAAAATCCGTGTGCTGAGGGATTCCTGTGGATTTGCTGTCCCAGTCCCCACCACGCTGCCGGGACGTGGCTGCAGCACGTCAGCCCAGCCCTGAATAGTTTTCTACAACACCTGGTTCATTGCAACACATATCTGAGGTGCTGTCAGGTGTTAAAAACCTGGAGAAACCACAAGTTTTCACTCTGGGCGATATCGGCAGGTCCTGACGAAGGAGCCTCGTTAGGGGAGAGGCAGCGACGAGCCCTTGATTAATCACCTCAGCTCTGGTGGCTGCAGACCCTGCAGGGAGGGGTTTGCCTTGCCACGGCTTCTGCACCTTCCCAGGAAAAGGCAGATGGACACAGAGCGAACCGGGATGCCCGGGGAAGGCTGGAAAACGATGAGAGATCCAGTGTTTCTGTGTCCTACCATCGTCACCTGTTTGTCACCCCGAGCAGCAGATCAGCGCCCGGGCGGGCTCTCGGTGCTGCTGCTCCACTTCACGTGTCCTGGGGACAGAAAGGGACCCTGCCCGGGGGGAAGGACAGGCAGCTGCCAGAGGAATCAGCGGGGAGCTCTCGGCTGCACCACCAAACCTGCCGTGGAGATGCAGAGGAGGCGACTGGACCACCCACAGCAACAGATGGAGCGCTTGCCTCTGGTATTTGGCACCCTGCCTCCCTGGAAATGCCTGCTCTGCTGCCGGTGCTGGGAGTGCTCAGGGATGAGGAGCTTCTTCCTACCGACAGGGAGGAGGAAAAGGCACCTCCTTCTCCCAGGGGGGCTGTGGATCTCGGAGGGGACGAGGGGACGTCCCCTGTCACCGAACACGCAGAGGCCACTCCCTGTGCCGAGGGCTCTGGGGCTGAGGGCTCCTGCTCCTCCTCCCTGCAGCACCAATTTAACACCAGTTCAGAGGGTCCACTGGCACCAACTGAAAGTGTTCACTGGCACCCCTGTGCTCCTCTGCTGCCATTTCGCAGCCTCTTCCTTCCCTCACCTTCTGCTGGCAGCAGCTCATTTAGGCAGCGGGGAAGATCGTTCCAGATCATTCCAGGAGGATACATCCACTGAGCACCTGATAAATGCAAACTGCTATTTAAAATCTGTTCGGTTTGGAGATGCGGTGTCAGTTCTGGGAGGTTTATTTCCATGTTTGGTTTGTTTGGAGAGGGAGCCCATCCATCTGACAAAGGGATTTGATGCTTCTATTCACAATCTTCCCTCCCCGGAATGAGAAACCACCTCCAGCTCTGTGACTCCACATGAGGTGACCTGTCATCTTTTAAAGAAATAAACCACCCCTGCATCGAGGTGAGGGCTCTTGTTCCCTGCATGGGACTGACCACGACTCCTGATACCCAGTGGGGTTTCCCAGGAAGCACCACGAGGTCCACAGAAAGATTCACAGAACCATTAAGGTTGGAAAAGACCTCTAAGATTGAGTCCAACTTCTCTTAGTTGCTGCCCACCCTTGGCTTTGCCCACACGTGGGTGAAGTCCTCACCTGTGCTTTAGGGAGAGGTGGATTTTCTGTCCTTCCTTCTTTCTTTTGCTGACACTGGCAAGACCAACCAAGATGGCTGGATGTCCATTTTCAAAGATGTGATGTTTAGAAAGAACCTCCACACCCGTCAGATGTGGAAGACCAGGCCCTGCTGCTGTTTTTCTCACAGCTCTACACCCCAGCATGCTCCTGGAGCACTAAAGATGAAGAGTTCTGCACCAAGACGGGCAAGAAAAGAGCATTTAAACCCCAAGTGCCACCACTGAGAGATGCAGGGTGCGGACACCCCTTCCAGCTGGGAGGGGCTTCCTTCCCCAGGAGAGGAGCTGGAATAGGTAGGACTGGAGTGACCAATTTCTCCTCCTCTGCAGTGAAATGGTCCCTGAAGGGAACACGGTATTTGCCAAGTTCCTTGACACCAGCCTGGCAGTCCCATCCTCTCTTGCTGCCTCCATGGCCAAAACCTCTTCGGTGTTTGAGGCAGAGGCGGCGCCTGCACCGAGCTCAGTGAGTGTCCATCTCATCTGCTGGTCTTCACATTTTGGAGCCCCCGTGGGCTGACACAGCCGTGACACAGAAAACGTGGATTTTCCTGAAACGTGTGACCATAAAACTTCTTCATGTTCAGCAGTGAGAGCAGCAGGTGAGTCTGAACTCCCACTGCCCACAGAGAGTGGGGGCTGAAAACACGGCTGTCTGCTGCTGCTGTTGGCTAAACACTCTGGGCTGGAGGGCTGCTTGTTTTCCTACTTTTGGTCATTAAAGTGTTTTTTCCCTCATAGTTCAGTCACCAGATTTGTAAATATGGCCAGTTTGTAACGTTCAATTCTTAAACTACTTGTGGGCGTAACCCGCTGGGTTGGAAGATCCTTTCCTTGCAGGGAAGATCATCCTCACAGTAACAACTTCATGGTTAAGTTCAAAAGATTCTAAATATGCCCCCAAAGTCTTTGGGCTGGGGAACAGGAGAGGGGTTTGTAATTATTGCCTCAATATGGTGAGTTACGTGTCTGCTGAACACAGAATCATAGAGTCATAGAGTCACAGAATCACAGAATCAC